TTGTGTGATCTTGGAGCCGGCGTGTCTGTAATGCCACTCACAGTAGCTAAAAGGCTTGGGTTCGAGAAGTATCAAAAGTGCGACGTTTCCTTGGTACTCGCGGATAGATCAGTACGCATCCCAGTGGGCATGCTCGAGGACTTGCCTGTGCGAGTAGGGAAACGTGGAGATACCCACTGACTTTGTTATCCTTGAGATGGACGAAGAACCCAAGGATCCGCTGATCTTGGGAAGGCCCTTTTTGGCAACCGCCGGAGCTATCATCGATGTTCAGAGAGGAAAGATTGAGCTAAACTTTGGAGATGACTTCAAGCTCAGCTTCGACATCAAGAGATCGATGAAGAAACCAACCATTGATGGACAGCTCTTCTGGGTAGAGACTTTGGATCAGTTGGCAGACGAGTATCTAGAGGAGTTAGCCACAGAGGACCAGCTTCAGCTTGCCTTGACTGAGAAAGTGGAGGAAAAGAGCTACTTCAACACCGAATCCTTGGAGTATGCTCGACTCTTAGACTCCCACAGAGGGACTGTTCCCAATGACGTGGTTGAGGAAATCATAGGACGCTCCGTGAGAGTTGAGGAAATCCACAAGGTAGAGGCAGAGCACGACCTCGAGCAACCTTCAGACGATGACTGGAGCGAGCTCAAAGCCCCAAAGGTGGACCTCAAGACCTTACCAGATGGGCTAAGGTACGCATTTCTTGGACCAAATTCAACTTATCCCGTAATTGTGAACCAAGAACTTACCCCACCCCAATTAACCTCCCTCCTTAATGAGTTGAGGAAGTTCAGGAGAGCAATTGGTTACTCTTTAGAGGACATCAAAGGCATATCTCCTGAGCTTTGTACTCATCGCATTCACCTTGATAACGAATCTAAGGGATCTATTGAACACCAAAGACGCTTAAATCCCAACCTCAAAGAGGTGGTGAAAAAGGAAATCCTTAAGTTGCTTGACGCCGGCGTGATCTACCCTATCTCGGATAGTACTTGGGTCTCGCCGGTACACTGTGTGCCCAAGAAAGGTGGAATCACAGTAGTCAAGAACGAAAAAGACGAAATGATCCCAACCAGAACCATAACCGGTCACCGAATGTGCATAGATTACCGAAAGCTCAATGCGGCGACTAGGAAGGATCATTTTCCACTGCCTTTCATCGATCAGATGCTTGAGCGGTTGGCAAACCATCCTTTCTATTGCTTCCTTGATGGCTATTCGGGATTCTTTCAAATCCCCATCCACCCTAATGACCAAGAGAAAACGACCTTCACATGTCCCTATGGAACTTTTGCCTATAAACGTATGCCCTTTGGATTGTGTAACGCTCCGGCGACTTTCCAAAGATGCATGACGTCATCTTTTCTGATTTAATTGAGGACACTGTTGAAGTGTTTATGGATGACTTTTCTGTCTATGGCAGTTCCTTTGTGTCTTGTTTGTCCAACTTGTGCAGGGTTCTCAAGCGCTGCGAGGAGACGAACCTAGTGCTCAATTGGGAGAAGTGTCACTTTATGGTCAGGGAAGGGATCGTCTTGGGACACAAGATATCAGAAAAGGGGATAGAGGTTGATCAAGCAAAGATTGAAGTGATGAGTCAGCTTGCTCCACCAAAGACAGTCAAGGACGTGAGAAGTTTCCTTGGGCACGCCGGTTTCTATCGGAGATTTATCAAGGACTTCTCCAAAATAGCTCGTCCTTTGACACGCCTCTTGTGCAAGGAGACTGAGTTCCTGTTTGACGAGGAGTGCCTTAAGGCATTTGAGATGATCAAGACTGCCTTGGTCACGGCCCCGATTGTGCAAGCACCAAACTGGGACTACCCTTTCGAGATCATGTGTGACGCTAGTGACTACGCCGTGGGAGCTGTGCTTGGCCAGAGGATAGACAAAAAGCTCCACGTGATATATTACGCAAGCAGAACCATGGACGATGCCCAAGGACGATACGCAACAACTGAGAAAGAGCTCTTGGCAGTAGTCTTTGCGTTCGAGAAGTTCAGAAGTTATCTCGTGGGTTCAAAGGTGATAGTCTACACTGATCATGCGGCCTTGAGACATCTGTTGGCAAAGAAGGACACCAAGCCAAGGCTCCTGAGATGGATACTTCTTCTCCAGGAATTCGATCTCGAAATTTTGGATAAGAAAGGGGTTGAGAACGGAGTTGCGGATCATCTCTCAGGATGAGAGTAAATGAACCGGCACCTATCGACGATACTCTGCCTGAGGAACAGCTACTCTTGGTGGAAAGTCTGGGAAAAGCGTAGGTTTGGCAGTTCGGTTAGAGCAGTTGAAGGCAGTTGAGGAAAAGGAAGCGCCTTGGTATGCAGATTACGCCAACTACTTGGTGTGTGGAGAGGTCCAGGCCGATCTATCTCCTTACCAGAAGAAGAAGTTCTTCAGGGACATCTCACACTTCTTTTGGGACGAACCATACCTGTTCAAGAGAGGATCGGATGGTCTGTTTAGGAGGTGCATAGCTCAGGAGGAAGTAGAGGAATACTCGAGCATTGTCACGGATCGAGCTACGGAGGTCACTTTGCGACTTTCAAAACAGCTTCCAAAGTTCTTCAAGCCGGATTCTGGTGGCCAAGCCTTTTCAAAGACACTCACGACTTCATTGCAAGGTGTGATAGATGCCAACGAGAAGGGAGCATTTCCAAGCGCAATGAAATGCCACAAAACCCGATACTTGAGGTGGAAGTGTTTGATGTATGGGGCATCGACTTCATGGGCCCTTTCGAGCCACCTTCTCACGGGAATAGATACATCCTAGTGGCGGTTGACTATGTGTCCAAGTGGGTCGAGGCAATCGCTTCCCCAACGAACGATGCCAAGGTTGTGCTCAAGCTGTTCAAAAGCATCATCTTCCCGAGATATGGAGTGCCAAGGGTTGTAATAAGCGATGGAGGAAGCCACTTTATCAACAAAGTCTTCGAGAACTTGGAAGAAGTATGGAGTCAAGCATAAGGTAGCGACACCATACCATCCTCAGACAAGTGGTCAAGTGGAAGTGTCGAACAAGCAGATAAAGGGGATCCTCAGGACGATTGTGGGAGTCACCAAGAAGGACTGGGCAGTTAAGTTGGACGACGCTCTCTGGGCTTACAGGACCGCCTATAAGACGCCAATAGGAAGGACACCTTTCTCGCTCCTTTACGGGAAATCGTGTCACCTTCCGGTGGAGATTGAGTACAGAGCACTCTTGGGCAATCAAACTGCTCAACTTCGACATCAGGTCTGCCCAAGAGAAGAGGGGTTTCGACTTACATGAGTTGGAAGAGATCAGGCTGGACGCATATGAGAGCTCCAAGATTTACAAAGAACGGACTAAGGCATTTCACGACAAGAAAATTGTGCCTAAGGTCTTCAAGGTTGGAGAATATGCGCTGCTTTTCAACTCGAGAGCTAAGTTGTTCCCTGGGAAGCTCAAGTCCAAGTGGTCGGGCCCGTTTGAGATTAAGGACGTCCTTCCTTATGGAGCTGTCACTTTGCTTAACCAGAATGGCGAGGAGTTCACGGTGAATGGCCACAAGCTCAAACCGTATTTGGGCCAACGCATTCAAGGAGAAGGAGTCTCAACTCCTCTTCCGGACGCCCCTTAGCCTAAAAGGTTATGAAAGTCAAGCTATGGGACTCAAAACAAGCTCACTTGGGAGGAAGTCCCATGGTTATCTTTGTATATATTTATTTTTGCTTAATCTTTCTTGTTTTAGCTTTTATAAGTGCTCAGGTGTATAGATGAAGGAAGTGTTCGGTCAGCCTGACGATAAGCTTGAGCAAACTGATCAAGAAGAACGATGCAACGATTTTTGAAAAGACTTAGGCTTTTTCTCAAAAATCGTTGCCAGGTAAGCCCATCCCTGTTTATAAGGCCCAAATGAAAACAGTTTTTGATCGAGTTTTATCCGGAATTTTGTCTCGGTTTGAAAAGAAAAAGAAAAAAAAAAGGAGAAAAAGGAACGTGGGAGAGAGAAAGTAGTCAATTGGGGAAGTTGTGATTTGACAGCGGTTTTAATCCAAATCCTTCCGATTTTTCCGCAACCCCATCTCTCTCTTACTTTACCTTTTACAAAACCGAGACAAGCCAAACATCTCTCTTTCATACTTCTCCTTTTTCCCGATTTGTGAAAAGAAAAATCTCCATCTTTCTCTCTACATTTCGCTCTTTCTTCTTCACTTTCAAACCGTTTTCTGCGCTCAACCGGTAATTTCTCCGACTTTGGCTAGATTTGGTTTTGATTTTCGCTTAGTAGAGGTCGGATTTGTTTCGGGTTAAGGTTGAAAGAGAGATTTTGAGTTTGGATTTTTGAAAACTGTTTTGCATGTCTCTGTTTTTCCGAGATTTGAGTTCACCGCCGGTTTTAATCGACCTTTTTAGTTGAGATCTGTCTAAAGCTTTGATTTTTATCTTCGAATCTCAACTTGCTTGATCTGTTTCTTCTCTAAGCTTGCATGTGACATTGTTTGGCTGGAGTACTCTGATGTACTTGCATTTTACATAGTTTTAGCACATCTTTTATGCATCTTTTGCATAGTTTTAGCTTCCATTTGCATCATATCTTGTTCCTTTTCTCTTCTTATGCATTCATGTTAGTTTTAGGTTGCATTTGCATACATATGCATGTTTGGTCCTTTGAAATAGGTCTTTTGGAGCATTCTGGAGCATATGGGACATGAGGAGCATGGAGGGACTTGGCACATGGACGCAGCTCAACTGGATACGCAAAGGAAGAAGGGAGAAGCCATCTTGAAGACCAGCTCGACCGTCTACTCGACCAACCGGTCGAGTTCCTCAACTCGACCGGCCAAGCTTCAACTCGATCGAGCTGAGAAGTCAACAGTCAAACCCGAAAAATGTTGCTTCCCCCTTGACTTTCCTTTGACCCTAAACCTAATCCTCTTTGTATTTAAGGGCTAAAAGCCACGAAAAAACCACCAAGCTTTACTTACTTGTTTTAGTTTCTTTTAATTTTATTGTCTTTTACTTTTTAGAGCTCTAATCCCATCTTTGTGTTCTTGAAGCTCTTGCTTCTTGAATCTAGATCCTGGATAATCTCTCTTGTATTTGCACTTGCTTATTTCAATAAAAGTTGTTTAATTTCATCTCCTCTTTCTTATGATGTCTCTTTTATTGCATTTGCTTGTGTTTACATTCATGTGTAGTGAGTAGTTACCCATTGGGTTTGAGATGGGATAGATTAGAGGTTTCATATGCTTAATCCTTCTAGCTTATGGTCTTAATCTAGATTCTCTCTCTTTTGGATAGATCTTAAGGCTACATGACCACTACCCCTGGCTTGTAAGTCCTTAGGCGATTCCCCACACGAAAGTGATGGCAATTCGCTGGAAAAGATCCACTAAGAGCTCCAATATCTCTTGCTCTAGAAATAGAGGTCTAAGGGGTTGGATGGATTAGTTTGGGCAATGATCCTATAGCCTCCAAGGTTGATTCTCACTGGCTAACCCCCTGTTTCTGAGATCATTCCTTGGTTGATAACCTTCACCTTGGGAAAGGGTTGGTAGGCATTGAGAAGCCCAATATCAAGAGAAGCCTTGATACAAGGAGTTTTAAGAGCTGGATGGATTAAGTGTAGTTTCCTCTGATTGGATTAAGTGTAGTTTCATATTCTCATAGAGTTACAAGTTTTCCCATCTTGGATTGATAACCCTTTGTACTACATCAGCTATCATGGTTAAAGGGAATTGTTGACTGTGTTTGTGTTTGCATTTTACCACCTCATCATATACCACTGATTGCATTCCACACATCTCATCTCATATCTTTTCACATCCACACACAAATCCTATCATCAATTTGGCGCCGTTGCCGATTTGGGAATATTTTTGTTGCATTTGAGTTTCAAACATACTTGGACGATCAAGCTATACCACCCCTGTTCTATTGTACTGCTGGGTTTTTGTCTCTTTTTGCAGGTGTATGCGAACTCGATCGAGTCGGTCTAGAGGACTTGGTCGAGCTAGACTTTACAACGGGTAGAAAGAGGTTCAGAGGTCACAGAGGGTACAAGAGGAACCTGAGGTGCTTGTTGCTGATACAATGGATGTACCAGAGGGGAATGGAAACCCTTTGGGCAATGGACTCGGTCGAGCTAGGCAAACTCGACCGATTGGTCAAGGAGATGCTCCAAACCGCCACCAACAGAGACAAGGGATTGTTCCACCACCAGTGCAGAACCACAACTTTGAGATCAAGCTGGGAATGATCAACCTTGTCCAGAACAAGATGTTCCATGGATTGCCAAGTGAAGACCCCATTGACCACCTTGATGAGTTTGATAGGCTTTGTGATTTGACAAAGATCAATGGTGTCTCTGAAGATGCCATCAAGCTGAGACTCTTTCCTATGTCTCTAGCTGACAAAGCTCACCAATGGGAGAAGAGCTTGCCCCATGGCACAATCACTACTTGGGATGAATGCAAGAAGGCCTTTCTTGCTAAGTTTTTCTCCACCGGTCGCACAGCCAAGCTTAGAGGAGAGATATCCAGCTTCATCCAGCGAAACAATGAGACATTCGCAGAGGCTTGGGAGAGGTTCAAAGGGCTACACAAGTCAGTGCCCACACCATGGATTCAACAATGAATCACTACTCTCCACTCTTTATAGAGGATGCTTGCCTAGGTATAGGGAGATGCTAGACACAGCTAGCAATGGGAACTTCCTCAACCAGGATGTAGATGATGGCTGGCAACTTGTGGAGAACATAGCTAACTCAAATGGAAGCTATGGAGAAGAGTATGATCGCACCAATCGGAGCTCGACCCACCACTCGATCGAGTCAGACGAAAAGTTGAGAAAAGATGTTAAGGCATTGAATGAGAAGTTGGATAAGCTGATCCTAGCTCAGTCCACAATGAAGAAAGTCAACTTTGTGTCTGCTGAGGAGATGGAACCAGTCCAAGAAGGGGAGGATACACAATTTGCTGAGGTGTGCTACATGAGCAATGGGCAAGGAGGTTACAACAAAGGATACTATAATTACAAGTCCAACCCTGCCATGTCATACCGCAACACTGATGTTGCTAACCCTCAGGACCAAGTATATCCTCAACAACAAGCAGCTCGATCGAGTCAGGTGCCACAACATGGGTATGGTCAAAAGAACAATTACCAAGGACCACAAGGCACTTTCCCTGGACAACAAATGAATATCCCACCAGGCTTCCCCCACCAACCGCCCCAGCCTGCACCTTCACAAGAGAATGAGCTCAAGGCAATGCTAAAGCAACTACTTCAAGGGCAAGCTGATGGGGTAGTGGACACAAGCAAGAAGCTAGCTGAAATAAACTCTAAGATCGAGAACCTCAACACAAGGGTTTACTCTCTGGAGAATCATGCTTCTTCTGTTGCTGCTGCTACAAAGCAAGGACAACTACCTGGTAAAGCTATTCAGAACCCCAAGGAACAGTGCAAGGTCATCTTCACTCAAGAAGGACTTGTTGAAGAAGAGGATCAAGAAAGGGTCATTGAAGATTTTTGTTTACTGCTGAATGATGAAGAGATTGTTGCTGCTGAGGCTCCTGGAGTCCAGATTGATCAACCAGAAGTGCATGCACCTACTGTGGCCATTCACACTTCACCAGTTGAGCTCGCACAACAAGCTCGATCGGCAGCTCGATCGAGTCCAACTCTAGCTCGATCGAGTCCGACCTCTTCTGTCCGACAGCCTGTTTTGCTTGATCCTTACCAACCGGTTGCCGCTTCCTCGTCTCGCCTACTTAGTCAAGGTCACAAGGAAGTGATTCACAAGTTCAGAAGAGATCTCAGTGGGATTGGAATTGAGTTGCCTCCTATGGATAGCATGAGTGAGGCATTTGATCAAATGCAAATGGTCAAGGATGTTCTAGCCAACAGTGATAAAGTTTCAGAGGTCCTACAAGAGTCTACTCATCAGTTCAACCTGCTTACTTCACCCACCTTCCTACCAAAGGTCAAGGATCAAGGGAAATTCACTCTCCCTTGCACACTTGGGCATCTTGAGATTGACAATGCCTTAGTGGATTCTGGAGCAAGCATCAATCTGATCTCTCTCTCCATGGCAGAGAAGCTAGGCATTGCTGGAGCCTTGCAGCGCCCTACTACTTCAATCATGTTTGGAGATGCAACTTCTAAGTCTCCTCTTGGAGTGTTCAAGAACTATCACTTGAAAATTGGAGAATGCATCATCCAAACTGATCTCACTGTGATGGAAATGGAAGAAGAGAAGGATTTACCTCTGTTATTGGGAACCCCTTTCCTTAGTACAGTTGGCGCTTCAATAGACTTTCACAAGCAAGAAGTGATCCTTCACAAGGTGAATAGTTTGGTGTCATATCGCTTGCAGCCTAGAGGTTCAGACTTTTGTGCCACAATTGACAGTACCACTCTCAGTTCTAAGAGTCATGGAGCTACAAAGGTTGTGAAGGAAAGGGTTGACAAAGAACCAAGAGTTGGGAAGGATAAGGATGAGAGAGGACCAAGGATTGAGAAGCCACGTCTTGAGAGGGCTAGAGTTGAGAAACCACGTTCTGATAGACCACGAGCTGATGACTTGTTCAAGCCCCTTGTGTGCTTGATGAAGAGAGCCTTCAAGCTTTGTTTGATGAGCCACTAGGAAGGGCTCTAAAAGAAGGGGAGGATGTAGCCTCTAAGGCAAGACCAGGGATAAAAGAAAGATCCACCAGCTCAGGCCCCTTCAGTCAAGCCATCTCAGCTCACAATGACTTTGTTCCCCACCAAGTTTGAAAATGGGAAGATTGAGTACAAGATAAGGTACAAGGGGAGATCAAGGCCATTCTCTAGAGCCAAAGCCTTGGTGACTTCAGAACAATCCAGGGACCCAACCAAGCTAAAGGAGCTTCTGTCTCAAGTCCTCACTATCACCCTTGATGGTGGGACTAGCTCAACCAATGCCTAAGAAGGTAAAGGTCAAGCTATGGGACCTTAAACAAGCTCACTTGGGAGGAAGTCCCATGTTTATCCTTGTACATATTCTATTTATGCAATTTCTATCTATCTTTGTGTTTTAACCTTTGAATAAGTTAAGTTTAGGTGTCAAGGAGCCAGCTCGACCGACAGCTCGATCGAGCTAGAAACCAGGGCAACTCGATCGAGTCAACTCGACCGAGGTAAGTTTTTGAATTTCAAATTCATAACCGTTTTCTTGGTCAAGGGAGTGGGTCCCACAAGCTGATTTTGGTCCCCCACTACCCTAATTTGATCAGAAATCCCTAGCTTCTTGTCCCTCTTTATTTCATCTTTTAATCTCAACCACACATCTCAAACACCCCTCTTCCCCATAACTCGATCGAATCCACTTCTCCACTCTCCCACACTTAAAATTTCTGAAACCATCTCTCTCTCTCTTCACCACAAGAAATTTTCGAATTTCCTCTCTTTCTCTCTTAAGTTTTTGCGATTTCTCTTGTTGCTTCATCATTTGTTTGGGTTCTAGTTTACTGTTCTTCAATTCATCATTCAAGCAAGGTATGAACCCTAAAACCCTTGATTCTTCCATCTCGATTTCCATATTGCTTGTTTCTCTTTGATTTTTGATTGCATGTGTCCCTTGTGGACTTGTTTCTTGAGTAATTGCCTCATTTTCTCTGTATAACTTGTTATTTGCCTCACCTCACCTCTGTTTTCTTTAAACTTGTTGCATGTGCTTGAAAATTGAATTTGAGTTTGGTATTGGTTAAGATGCTTAGTGTTTCACTAGAATTGCTCATTGTTCCATTTACTAGTTGTTCTTGGTTCAATTTGATTGATTAGCATCCTTTCCAGCTCTTAATACTTGAATTAGGTTTGGTTATACTCTGTTTTCACCCTAACTCGATCGAGTTTGTCACTCGAGTTTTTTGACTCGATCGAGCTGAGTGTCGAGTTGACCAAACCGATCATTACAACTCTAATTCTTTGTAATCTTTGATGCATTTCAGGTACTTTAGTGAAGAAACAGAGTGACAAGGATGACAAACAGTGAGGGAAGTCGCGCTTCACAGAGGAGAATGGTTGAGGGTGAATCAAGCAATGCAAGGGAAAGAAGGCTTAAGATGCAAGCCGATTTGGAGAGGATGATCAGAGGATGGAAGATCTGATGCAGAGGAGTATGTGTACTCTGAGGAAGAGTCTGAGAGTGAGAGATTGAGGGAGGAAAGGAGGACCAAGAAGAGGAATGACCCATTAGTAGTGAGAGTGAGCAAGGGGAGTTTGAGATTGGAGTGAACCTTGTTCAAGAGGAGGGAAATGGCTCTCCAATGAAGAAGGAAGTGATGAGACTGAGAGTGAAGAGGAAGGAGAAGAGGTGAATCAATTGGTTGATGAAGTGAGCAAGAGAACCAAGATGAACCTATGGAGGAGTTGAGCCACAAGAGCAGCCGCAAGAGGAGGAGAAGAACTCCCTATGTACCAAGAGCACTACAATGCTCTCTTCTCCATGGACTTCATGGAGACCAAGTACCCACATGTTGACACAATGAAGGCCCTTGGAATCTTTGAGGATGTGGAGTTGGTCTCAAGAACATGCACTTGGCCAAGCTCTTCTCTATCACATGGAATCCTACAAGGAGCTCACTTGCGAGTTTAGCTTCAATGAGGTACCACATGTATGAGAGAAGATAGAGCTGATTTGGACCAAGGATTGGGATGGATCACGTTCTTGGCTAAGGGAGAGAAGAGAATGGTGACCTTTAGGCAGCTTGGAGATCTTGTTTGGGTTCAACTATGGAGAAGGTACCAAGTGGAACTTCAAGGAAAAGGAACTCCAAAGAGTTTGGGCTACAATCGCTGATGGAGTGTACTCTTCCTCAAGGTCCAAGGCAGCTCAGATCAGGAGCCCAGTCTTGAGGTATGTGCACAAGGCACTTGCCAACACCTTCTTTGCAAGGAAGGCACCGGGACAATCAACGAGGGGGAACTCAAGTTTCTTGACATGGGAATCAAGCCCTTCTCTCACGCACAAGCGATGGCAAGAGGATCAGGGGAGATAGATCTGACACAGGGAACTTGATGCCTTTCCTTGACCAGCTCCTTACCTACAAGATCACAGCCTACAACACTAGACATCAAAGAGGAAGGCGCTAAGTGTTGGAGGGCTCATCACACCTATCTTGTGTGCTGCTGGAGTGAACCCAACTGATAGAGAGCCACTGAACCAGGTTGGATGGACATCAAGTTTTGCAAGACCAACCTTCTCATTGAGCACAAGGAGTTGGATGGGAGTTCCAATTCAAGTTCACACATCCATTGGTTGGACCCTCCAAGCTTCTCCTGCCCTAACCCAGAGCTCACCACAGTAGTAAGGGGTGAGAACATTGACTTCAGACCCCCTGTGTACACATTAGTTGGGCATGAGGATGATTTGCGAGAAGAGGAGCCTGAGCTCGATCGAGCTGAGTCGAGCTGAGGATCGAGCTGAGGATCGAGCTGAAGATCAGGTCCAGGAGAGTGCGGATTTGGGTGAGCCTGAGTGCTATTACTTTGAGGAGTATGAGGCTCCAAGGATGAACCCCTCTGTTGTGGCTGCCACAAGAGGATTGGACTTCTCCAAAAGTTCAACAAATGGCAAGGGAAAGCCATTGAGAAGATGCAAAAGTCCATGGACAAGATGGTGAGCAAGATCAAAAGTTTGGAGAAGAAGGTTTCTGGTTCTTCAAGCAAGAAGAAGAAGTCCAAGGCCCCCACATTCCCTAGGAGTAGATCTCCTCACCACTCCAAGGAGGCTCCCTGCCCAAGAGCCTCACAGAGCCTCTTCTTTCGAGCCAAGAGAAGGAGAAGACAACACGCAGAGAAGGAGGAAGACTTCCAAGGCCAGACGCTCCAGCTCGACCACCGGACTCGATCGAGTCCAAACAGAGGAAACTCAACTCGATCGAGCTGAGGGTCGAGTTGACCTGGAGGAGCCCCTGTTTGAGAATCCTGGATTCGAGTACGATCCAA